TTAAGGAAAAATCAATGGCAAATTGAGGGTTAGGACTTGATTAATTAGAGACATTTGAGTAATGATTTGAGGGACCATTTGAGGTCTGATTTTGGTACTTTTGGTATGACTGAACTCGTGAGAGTGTGAGGATTCTGGAAATATAAATTTTACCCAATTCCGAGATGTGGGCCCGAGGTGCGTTTTGGTCATTTTACCTAATTTCGGGTATTAGCTTAGAATTTAATTGTAGAATCAGTTACTTGAAGTGTTATTTATATTATGCAATTGAATTGAATAGATTTGGGCTATTTGAAGTCGAGTAATCGTGGCAAGAACGTGGTTTCAGGTTGATTTGAGCTGGTTCAAGGTAAGTGGCTTGCCTAACCTTATGTGGGTGACCTTCTCCTTAGGATTTGGTATATGTGATAATTGAAATGCCTTGTACGTGAGGTGACGAGTGCGTACTTGAGCAAATTGTTGAAAATCCGATTTTCTTTAAGTAATCTCAATTGTGTTCCTTTTCCCCTTTTTATACTACTTGCAAATTTAAGCCTGTTGTTAACTTAGAAAAGCATGTTTAATTGACTTAATTACTTATTTGCATAAACTGCCTTAATTGCATTATGTGAAGCATGTTAAGTTAGAATTAACTATTTTACTTGGTACGAAATTGAGCTTAATTGAGTATTCCTTGTGTTGTTGCTGCGTGTTTTACTTTGGGACTATGGGACGACATCCCGGGAGATCCCCTGCACGTATTTATGATTTGAGCTGAGGTGCGGGTTACTGAGAGATCCCTAGTACGTATAATGAGGATACGAAGAGATCCTTGGGATACCAAGAGATCCCTGGAATATAATGAGGGTACTAAGAGATCCTCGGGATACTGAGAGATCCCCGGTTATTATCCTTGTGAAGCATGGTATTTCCTTGTGATTGTTTTTGCCTCTGTTTCAGTTATTGAATTCCTTATTTTTCCTGTATTAAATTCTTATTGTTAGCTTTCAACTGTACTGCTTATCTTATTCTATCATACCTTATATTTTTATTTTATCTCAGTAGGGCCCTAACCTTCCTTGCCACTACCCGATCGAGGTTAAGCTTGGCACTTACTGAGTACCGCTGTGGTGTACTCATGTCCTTTCTGTGCATGTTTTTCATGTGCAGATTCAGGTACCTCCACTCAGACTTATCACTCTTGAGACGAGACGTTCATAGAGACTCCAAGGTATATCTGTCGCGTCTGCAGACCGAAGAGTCCCTCTCTACTTCCGCCTTTTGTATTAGCCCTTCTTATTTTGTGTCTTTGTTAGATATTCTGGAGATAGACATTTGTAGACTTTCAAAGGCTTGTGATCATGAGTTTTCGGGTTTTGGAAAATGTATTTAGCTTCCGAGAGTTATTATTGTGTATGCCAAGCGACACTTAAAATTATTGTTTTATCTCACTACTTTGGTTTTTAATTATTTCTTCCGCAAATTGGTTTATTTTTCCGCATTGTTAGGCTTACCTAGTCGTAGAGACTAGGTGCCGACACGATGGTTCACGGGGCCGAACCGGGGTCGTGACAAAAATGCACCTACCATTTAACTTCTGGCTTAGCCACACCCTTGTTTCTAACAGAAATTTATTTTTTTAATTTTTTTAATCCACATGTAATATATTTATCTTCCTCTTTCATCAGGGTTCTTTAAATTCTCCTCCCATCTCCTACCTCCTAACTTTGTAATTTTTCTTCTTCTGAAATTTACATTAACTATTCTTCCTTTAGCTTCAAATGTCTGAATCTTCTTTTGCTTCTTCCTTTATTGCGGACTAATAGTTATTAATGTAAATTTCAAAAGAAGATACAAAGTTGGGAGGTAGGAGATGGAAGATGGAAAATTTGAAGAATCTAATGAAAAGAGGAAGAAGAAGCTGTTGTGTGGGGGCAGGAATTGGTTCTTTGGGTTAAAACGAATTAAAGGGAGGCAGGTCGGCAATGGGGTGGGTTACGGGTGGGTTAGTATAATAGGATTAATGGGGTGTAATAAACATATTACACGTGGAGTAAAAAAAAATTTAAAATAAAAGTTTGTTAGCAATATGGACATAGTTGAGCTAGAAATTAAACGGTAGGTGCATTTTTATTTGAAAAGGTGAAAGAATGACATTATTGTACCAAATTCGATACTTCATGGGTACTTTATCCCTTTTCTGTTCTCAAAATCTTAAGGCTTTGTGCCAACTAGCTCTAAGGGGAAAATTGGGTTAAGTTCACAAATGACCTTGAAAGGAACGGTCCTGAACTTTTGACCTTTGAGATAGGTCATCTAACCAATAGGTAAAAATGTTAATTCTAACCTTGAATATTTGTCCATTAGTCGAGTGACCTACCTTCAAGGCCAAAAGTTGAAAGGAGTTTTTACATTCCTATGCCACATAGGAAACCTTATTACCCTCAATGTTTAAGGTTTGACTTAATTNCTTCAACAAAGTTGATTCCCCATTTTACTCCAGTTGAAGTTCATCAATGAAGAACAACAAAGTTCATCAAATTGAAGTCAAATCTTCAAAGTTCATACACACATTTACCTTCAGCTTCAAATTTTCTCAATGAAGAAGAACAAACCTTCAAAGAGACAAGAGAGCAGCAATTCCACCATTGACAGCCATTAAAAAGCTTTGAAGCTTTGAATTCAAATTTGGGTTTTCAAAAATCATTATTTGTTTTGATTGGGTGTTGTTGTAAATAATTGGGAATATGTTTTGGAGTTTATATCTAAATTTTGAGGGGTTTTGGTGAAGATTTAGACTTGGTTTTGGCTGAATTTCAGATTGAAACTCGAAGAAGAAGAAGAAGAAAACATATTGCAGAAATTGTAGATAAATTGTAGACTTTTTTTGCTGAAGATTTGTAGAAGTTTTAGTCGTTTTTGATTTGTGAAAACAGAAAACAAAGCATCTACAATCAGAATACAAATAATCTACAATTTATCTACAAAATATCTACAAACTAGGTACATTAAATTTTAATATCCCAATTCCCATTCAATTGTAGCTTAATTGGTATTTTCGACATAATTGCATTTTTTGCAGAAGATTTTGTAGGAGTTTTAATCGTTTTGGATTTGTGAAATCAGAAAACAATGCATCAACAATCAGAATACAAATAATCTACAATTTATCTACAAACTGGGTACATTGAATTTTAATATCCCAATTCCCATTCGATTGTAGCATAATTGGCATTTTCGAGTAATTGCATTTTTTGCAGAAGATTTGTAGAATTTTTAGTCGTTTTTGATTTGTGAAAATAGAAAACAAAGCATCTACAATCAGAATACAAATAATCTACAATTTATCTACAAAATATCTACAAACTGGATACATTAAATTTTTATATCCCAATTCCCATCCAATTGTAGCATAATTTTAATTTTTGACATAATTGCATTTTTTCAGAAGATTTGTAGGAGTTTTAGCCGTTTTTTATTTGTGAAAACAGAAAATAAAGCATCTACAATCAGAATACAAATAATCTACAATTTATGCAATATGTCTTCTTCTTCTTCTTCTTCTTCTTCTTCTTCGAGTTTCAATTTGAAATTCAGTCAAAACCAAGTCTAATCTTCACCAAAACCCCTCAAAATTGAGATATAAACTCCAAACCATATTCCCGATTATTTTCAACAACACTCAATCCAAAAAAATAATGATTTTTGAAAACCCAATTTTGAATTCAAAGCTTTCAAGCTTTTTAATGGCTATCAATAGTGGAAAATATCTGAAAAAATATTTACTTCCATAATTGTAGCGCGTCTAAATAGGAATATCTGGAAGAATATGATTTGATCTGATTTATGCCAAATTAATGGGTTTTACCTTTCCGTTTCAAGACTTGAATTTAATGAAGAATCAATCAATCCCAAGATTCTTTCCTGATTTTTCGCACGTTATTAAGGGAAGATTCTGCCCTATTAATTCCTAATAAACGAATGGTACATAAATTGTAGGAAAAATGTGGACTAGGCGGGTAATTTAGATACTATGCACGTATTTGGTAATAAAGTTTCATATATGGTATAGGAAGGAAAAAATCCCAAGTTGAAAATCAGCCCTTGTGGCATCTTATTTCTGCTATTTTCTGCAATAAGCCACAAACTCTGAAACTGGTGGAGAAGTATAGCCCAATATCACTAAGCATAAGCATAGCCCATTTGTGATCTTTTCAACCATCATTTCCTCGTCCTAGCACAAAATCCTCGAGGAGTTCTTGGTATCAATCTACATATATAGTAAAAAGACAACATATTATTTCTTTGTGTACTATTGAAGAAGAAAAAGATCCCAAATACTATAAAATAAAAGAAAGACAAATGGATATTCAGTTCTTTTTAGAATCACTATTTATATGTTGACTCCGTTAAGAAAAATTTTGATGAAAATATGACAGCATATTACAAAATTTTGATAGTGTGCTTCAAAATTCTGGCAGCGGGATTAATTTTTCAAAAAATTTCTTAACGGGCCAAAATATAAATAGCACGGTACTAAATGATCCTATTTGTGCAAATCTCCCAATATCAAGCAAGTAAAGATTTGGAATTTTTTCCTTCCTATACCATATATGAAACTTTATTACCAAATATGTGCATAGTATCTACATTACCCGCCTAGTCCACATTTTTCCTACAATTTTTGTACCATTCGTTTATTAGAAATTAATAGGGTAGAATCTTCCCCTAATAATGCGCGAAAAATCAGGAAAGAATCTTGGGATTGATTGATTCTACATTAAATTCAAGTTTTGAAACGGAAAGGAGATTTCGCAACAATTGCAGAACATATCTTCGAGATTCAACAAACTGAATTCAAATTGTAGAGTATTCTTTTCTTCGTCGTTTTCAGAAATCAAATTGGCGATCGTATATCTGTTCTTCATCTTTTTTTTCCCTCAATCTAGAAATCCAAAAAAACGAAAAAATTTAGAATAATACATCAACAACAACACGCAATCATATCCATAATCGCAATCATGCTACAACTGAATGGGAATTGGGATAACTATGGCAGATTTAGAGATTTTGAAGTTGCCATTGTGGTAAATGAGAATGCAAGCTACAGTATTCTGATTTCTACAATTGCAGAACAACTATCGATTGATACTTCAGAAAAAATTATAGAAATCAAATACATGGTGAACGACAATTGTCCCCCAATGGAGATTAGGAATGATATGGGGGTTCGTGTGTATATGGAGACCAAAAAGGAGAATAAAAACTTAGGTTCATATCCGTTATGCATAAGTGTATGATATTTCAATATGGAATTGGCAATCACCAACGATAACACAAGTGCAGGTTTGTATAGTTCGAAATTGCATAGAATTATGGTTTTACGGTATTATCTACAAAATTACTACATTTACCTACAATTAAACTATAAATCAGTTTAATAAAAGAATAAAGCAATGTTGTTTTCAAAATTATCTACAAAGTTACTACATTTATACGACAAAATAAACTACAATATATGATTAGAAATTGTTGATTTCAAAATGTTGTCTTCAAATAAAACTACAATCTATGTTTAGAACAAAATCTAGTCAAATAAAATACAAATCAGTTTAATTATGTACGAAGCAGTATTGTTTTCACAAATTTCTACAAATTGCAACAGTTATAGTACAATTTAACTACAATGTCTGACATCCTAAAATGGATGACTACAAATTTTTTACTATATCTACAAATTATCTACAAAGATTCTACAAAATTATAATGACACTATTTATCTTTATTATGACGCAGGTTCGTCCGGATCCCTAAAGTTACTTGATATGCCATCATCTCCAGCTGTAGAGGAATATAAAAGTGAAATAATAACATAATATACGCAAACTGCTATTGAAGAAAGACAAGTGTATCAGGACAAGCAAACTGTAGCTGCTGCAATGAAGCACTTTTTTGTGATGCACAAGTTCCAGTTCTGAGATAAAATATCTAGTCATAGAAGGTATGGAGATATTTGTGGTGAGAAGATCATTAAAAACAGTGTTTTACTCAAGATATGTGTTTTTTAAACATTGTAGATAAATTGTAGTTACATTGTAGTTTATGTTACTTTATGTTAAAACAGTCCTTTTGTTGCATCTACATTTATGATCTGTATTAAATATTGTATTTTTTTGTAGCTACTGGCTTGCATGCGTTGGTAAAAACTATAAATGGAACTTCAAGGCAACGTCAATTAATGATTCCGCAATGTTCAAGATAAGGAGTTTCAACCGACAACACACATGCTCCTTAATGGACGAAACATTCATACAACGCAAACGTACTGCAGCTGTAGTTGGTAGCATGGTCATTCGAAAGTATTGTGATCCTAAGACTGTTTACACACCAAAGGACATACAAACTGACATGTTATCCGAACACGGAGTGAACCTAAGCTACATGCAAGCATGTAGAGCAAAGGAAAAGACTTTACAGTTTTTGAGAGGGAATCCGGCTGACTCCTACAGCAAATTACCCAAATATTTTTATATTCTTGAGGAGACTTATCCTTGTTCGGTTGTTAAATTGAAGAAGACAGCAAATGAATGCTTCTTATACGCATTTGTTGCTCTTTGTACATCAATAAGTGGTTAGCAACATTGTAAGCCAGTAGTAGTAGTTGATGGGACATTCTTAAAGTCAGCCTACAGGGGGATTATGCTGACAGTAAGCACCATGGATGCAGCAGGTAAAAAGTGTAAAACTTTTGTAGTTATTTTGTAGGCAGTCTAGAAAATGTAGATACATTGTAATAATTTTGTAGTTATTTTGTAGCTACTACATGAAATGTAGATAAATTGTCTATATTATGAAGATATATTGTAGTTGTTATGTACTTATATTTTTATATACATTTTCAAAGCTGCCAATTAATATTTTATGAATTAATAATGTAGGTATGCCCTTGGCATGTGTTGTGGTTGATTCTGAAAATGACGAATCTTGGAAGTGGTTCTTTGAGCAATTCAAGCAGACATATGGTGAAAGACCTTCAATGTGGGCTGTTTCAGATAGGAATGAGAGTATACTGAAGGCAACATCAATTGTCTATCCGGGCATGACACACTACTCTTGCATGTGACATATTTGGACAAATATAAGGTCAAAATTCAAGAAGGGTCATCTACAATTACATGAATTGTACTTTGCTACAACACAGTCATACACTCTAGATGAATTTAATGAAAGGATGTCGAAGATTGAAGAGGTAGACCCGCGTGTGAAATCTTACCTATATGATATTGGCTATCATAAATGGTCAAGAGTACATGCAACAGTGAATAGAACGTGGACAATGACATCAAATATTGCAGAGTCGTTGAACGCTGTAACAAAAGATGCAAGAGAGCTGCCGATATTTGACCTTTTAGAGTATATGCGGACACTGCTAGAACGTTGGACCAACGAGAAGTTATTGAAGGCGAAGGGTACTTTCACATTTCTTGGGTCCAAATTCAACAAAGAATTAGAGAACAACAGAACATTATCTCAGAAGCTTAGGGTAAGATCTGTTTATTTGGTGCAGAAAAAATAAATTACTTAATATGCAGTGTTTCCAGATTGTAGATAAATTGTAGTCAAATTGAAGATAATTGTAGGTTGTAGATAAGGTGTAGAATATTTGTAGATAATCTATTTTTATGATTGAAATAAGATTTTTTCTGTTTGTTCTGCAATTGTAGGTGAGGGCTTCAACAGATCATATACATACTATGTTAGATGATGTGAAGCGGTACATTGTGTGTCTAGAAAATAATAAATGTAGCCGTGGCCAATTCCAACTTGAAGAACTTCCATGTGCGCTTCTTTGGCAGCATTAAGGCACAGAAATGAAACATATGAAAAATATTGATCTCCGTATTATACAAGGGAGAGCTTTCCGCGTACGTATGAAATACCAGTAAATCCTCTTCCTGATAAAAGCAAATGGAATGTGATACAATATATTTTGGATGAAGTAGTAAATCCACCGACGGGAGATAAAAGGCAGCCAGGGAGACCTCAAAAGGAAAGATATAAAACATATGATGAAATAAAGTCAAAGAAATACAAGATGTCATGTGGAAATTGTGGAGGTGAAGGGCATAACAAAAGATCTTGCAAGAATGCGCCCAAGAAGAAATGAATATCATGTAGTTAGAATAGTTATTCAAACTAACTGTTAGTAAGTTAAAGTTAGCAGATTTTTTGTGTAATCGTTTAAGTTTTTAAAGATCATTATGAAGTAGACTACAATTTGTTTATGTGTGTTTAACATGCTTTTATGTATTGTGCCAGGCATCGAAATTTGTCTTTGATATAGTGTAATTAAATTTTAATATTTATTATCTACAATACAACTGATATCAAAAAAGTAATAATGTAAAGTGTTTCCAGATTGTAGGTAAAATATAGGTTAAATGTGGTTAAATTGTAGTCTTGGTAATAATTTGTAGATGATTTGTAGATAAATTGTGGATAATATATTTCTAGGATTGGAGTATTTATTTCTTCTGTTTGTTGTGTAATTTAACTTCAACTGACAGTTATATACAGATATTACCTAGAACTTGAAGGTATTTCGTAAAAATTATGAACATATACAACTACAAAATTATATACAATAACTACATTGAGTGTTTCCAAAATGTAGATATTGTGAAGATTATTTGTAGGCAAATTGTATTCTAACATCAAAATACTCATGTTTAATATAATGAAGATACAGTGCTGTAAACAACCAATTTATATTCAAGTGAACAACTAATAATGAAAGATAAAATAACAAAACAAAAAGGTATGCTGCAATAAAAAAATAAAAATTTTGTTCATAAAGTAGTGTATTCTCCTTCAACTACAAATTGGCATCAACAAACTAGGAAAACAAGACATTATTTCTTCTTTCTCTGGACTCTAGTCTTCTCATTCAAAGCAGGAGCGCTCTTCCTCCTTGCTAGTCTGCCTGTAACCTCACTTTCACTGATTGATCCATCTTCTTGCTTCTTTGTAGCATAGTCCCATAGGAGAGCTCCATAGCATCTACGGTGTTGGTCGATATCCGAAAGGTCTTCTGAAGGGATTGATAAATCTCCAAGGCTAACATACTCCGCAAAAGCAGCAACAAATACACTACAATCGTTGCATAAGACAAAAAAATTTAATTATTTAACAAATAATTATAAAAAAATAATAATTAAACATATAGAAAGAGAGAATAGTTTTTTATAGTGATCCTTCCTTTTGCTGTGGAATCTCCGCAACCATCCACTGTATGTTGAGAGGGTCTGTAACTGGTTTCTCAATGTATGTCTTTGTGGTCTTGAAGTCAATATCTTTACGCTTCCCGTAGAAACCAGTGCAAGACAAATATAGAGGGATAATGATTGAAAGCTTATCAACACATGATTCAACAACATTATGATGGTGTGAAGACACCATGGAATCATACACATAAAAGTGCCTGTCCGCTATGTCGAAAACGACCAACAACCAATGGAAATTCTCTACAATGTTCACGGGCATGATGACATAGTCAAATTCATCCCAGGCAACATTAGCAAGAAGTCTATACCCAAGAATATATTCTGCAACATCATCATCGGGTTTAACAACCGAATACTTTTTTTTTTCTGGCGGAGAACTTATGAACTTCTCATAGATTTGTTCAATCTTTGACTTGAACAAACAATCGGTTGTTGTAAACCTAGTGTTGTTGTTGTTGGGGCCATATTTGTCTCTTTTTCTCAGGTAATACATAATAACATCAATGTGCTGCAAAATAAAATAAAATCTACTATAATCTACAGTGTAACTACAATTATCAACAAAGCAGCTACACTTTAAACTACAAAGCCAGAATTCAAATAATCTAACAAATAACTACACTTTAGCTGCTATACACAGCAACAAATGGAACACAACAACTACCATAAGGTCTCAATAATATCTACATTCAAACTACAATTAATATTATAAGTCTTCAACTTGCTCTACAATTTAACTACAAATTAACTACAATCATGAAATACAGATATACCAATTCTGTCCAAATTACCAAATATACAATTTTTACGTACAATTCATCATCAAATATGATACATAAGATCCAACCTAAATACAATCACACTATAAATAATAAGAGCCGCATTTATAAGAAATGTCTACATTATATCTACAATTTATAATAAAAGGCATGGTCACATATATTTCATATCTACAATATAACTACAATTATACTACAAAACAGAAGATAAAATATATCTTGTGAATTTATTCTTTGATACTTACCGAGTCATTGAGGACTTGTCCGGGGTGAGCAAGGGAATAAAACCAGTGCTTCTTATCTACCTTTTCAACTCCAAGGTCTAACCAAGGCTTGATTTGGTTATCCTTTATGGGAAAGGGAGCCTTCCTCCTATAACAACAAATAAATGTCCAATCAAAAAAAAAAATCACAGAATGAATTACATATTTAAACTTTAAAATGCTGAAATGAAAGTGTCAAATTAAGCATTCATACCTCTTAGATACTTTGTGACTACGGTGGTATAACCACTTGTTGAACTTATCTAACATATCAGAATCTACATTTTCACCTATAAGAGTTGTGAAAGGGTGCTTGAGGTAGAAAAATTTAGGTCCAATAGAGCTGCTGCCTCCAGAACTATATAGAGGTATGAAAGGTGATCGTGCATGTTTCCCCAGTTGCCTAGTTCTCCCCGGATGAATAGGGGTTGCTTCATCTGGTATGGGCTCGCCATACTTAACCAATTGTGTTAAGTTGTTTGGCAACTCAAAGTCATCCAATGTCACACCCTTCTTATCAATGCTTGATCCTTCAGAAACTACTTCATCAATATGCTGTGCATCATCACCTTCATTTAGCCGTTTCTCAATGACTTGTTTTGTCAGCTGCTATAGTCACTCCGTGAATTGGGGATTGTGCATTGATATCTTCAATATCTGTTATATAAAACATAACTTACTTAACATGAATGTAAAATTGTATAAACAACAATTATTTATTCTGAATGACAATATGATATTATACCTGCTTGTTCTACCTCAGCTGCTTCTTGAAATTCTGAATATAAGTCAACATGTGCTGGAACATGTTCTGGACAAACTGCAACTTCAATTTATAATTAAAAAAAGGTAAATAATACTAGATAATTCTGCCTTGAAATTTGTATATATATGTAGGAAGTTGTAGATAAAATGTGAATAATAAAACTATGCTCTATAAAGCTTTATACTAAGTATATATATTTGTAAGTATTTGTAGATACCTGTGTTGCTTGTGCATGCATGCACTTGCTCACCAATATTGAACTGAAATTGCTGGTTGTTCACTCCTTGTTGTTGGTCATTGTTTTTAGTTGAACTACCAGCAAACTAAAGATTTTGTGTTAGTTTGAGTATATTGTTTCATATATCATAATTTGTTTTGGTATATAAATATATGTCAACTCTTACCTTTGCCTCATCTGCATCATATCTCCTGTTTATCAAATTCAAAACACTCTTCACAGAATCATCTATAAACACTCGAAGGTCATGGAGTTCCTCAAATACAGCCTTCCTAAAATCCTCTAACTTTCCATCAACCTAAAAGTTAAAAATATAGTTAGTTGGTAATTTTATTCAAATAAATTACAAATTAGTTTAATTATGTACGAGGCAGTATTGTTTTCATAATTGTCTATAAATTGCTACAGTTATACTGCAATTTAACTACAATATGTGCAATCCCAACATGGATGACTATAGAATTATACTACAATTTACCTACAATGTATACTACATAAATTATTATGAAATGTAGATAAATTGTAGAAAATATGTAAATATATTGTAGTTATAATATTACCTGCTCAATTCCCTTTTCTAGCTTCCGGAGCTTCTTAGCCACAGATTCCTTGTCCTCTTGACAATCTGTATGTTTGGGTTCCAATGTTGGAGAATCAGCATTTGGAACCTCTGATGATTGTGCACCTTGTTCATCTTCATACTTAATCTTGTTTGGCAGAGTAAGCACTCCAATCTCTTCTCCAGATTCAGTCACACTTGTGAACTGAATGATGAAAAAAATAATTAGTTCCACTAAGGCAGAAAATGTAGACTAATTGTAGATATTATGAAGGTAAATGTAACAACATATAAAACTGAAAAAAAAAACCTTAATCTACTCAGGCTTGATCATCTTCTCTTCATAGACAGTTAACCAAATCTGCTCCTTAGTAGCTGACCATCTTAATATGCGAGGTATTGAGTCAGAACACCTCGTAGCAAGCTCTGTGCTGACGGTCGAGCAACACTCATAAAGCCACACTTACAAGGCTAATGGGCATCCCCGTATGAGATAAGAATGTACACGGGGATTTAGACGATGCCTAACGGATTCCATAACTTGATTGAACGATTTAATACCCCATGGGTATGACTCAAACTGACCAGACTCTACCAAATAGAACCTAAAGTGGTCTATAAAAGACACGTGGTCTTTTTCATAAGGGCAAACAAAATATTCTAAAAGATAAAGAATGCACAACTTGACTGCATCCTCATCGTTTACCCAAGATCTATTTGTTACTATGTTTTTCAAATACCACTTCACTACTCTTTTTTTTGTTAGGAAAATAGCTATTACTAACTTGCTAACATAACTAGAAGTATATCCATAATCTGTAAACTGATTCACACAATTTAAACCGGTAATTAAACCAAACTCTCTCAATGAAAAATTCAATTTTTTCCCCTTCAAGTGGACTAAAAAAATGATTCATTAGACTTAGACAGTTCATCCTTCATCAGAAGATGAATAGCTTGGTTTTGCATGCAA